TTATAATTGTGATAATTTTAACGTTGAACGTAGTTAAATCATAAAAGTTCAATTTTCTATCATTATTAATATATTACTACATTTTTATAAATTTTAATGGTGTAAATAAAGAAAAATCTCCAAGAATTTATTTATAGAAAAACAAAAAAACCGAAAATAAAACGAGAATAGTTGAGGGCTTACAGGGTTTAATCGAAAGCACAAGTATTGAGCAAGTAAGCCTTGATCTTCATTTAATACACAATACAAGATCAAGAATAAGACTAGCAATCCAATACTAATATTTATATCTGTAAATATTTCTGGAATTATATATTTATATATATTGATAATAATCATTTAATGCGTACACAATCATATGAGTTAGTTGTTTCATGCGTCAGAGAAGTTCAATTTAATGCTTGCTAAAAGCTATGTCAAAGAGTTTTTGTTATTTATGAATTTGATGAAATAATCATGACTACAAGAATCTTACAACAAGCCCAATATTGATTCGGCAATAACAAGACCAAGACCAAGACCGAAACTATATCAACGCCTTGGTCTTGTTTTGCTCATCACTAGAAATCACTAAAACTCGAGAAGTGTTATTAAGCTGGACTGGACTGTAAAAGCCGTACGTGTTCTAGATAGACTTTAACAGAAAAATAAAAACTGGCGAATATACTTAAACGGATTTCGTTCACGTCATAACTGAATAAGTAAACTGACCGATTAACATATACTCGGGAATAGTAAAATGGATCAAAACGATTTTTGGCACAGTCATGCATACCTCTCCCACTACGCTACGTGTCTCAAGTCTTAAATAGGTTTTTGTTATGCGTCTATGGCGGTCGTAATTTGTTTAACTTATATAGTAACGAGCAAAAATATACTACGTTGAGTGCATAACACACCAGAATAAATACTATAATTATTATGAATATAATAAATCGATTATATACAACTATGTATAAGATATGGTGTAGATTCTAAACTGGTGAGGGGGAATTTTCCCCGCAAATCATTTTTGGAAGATGTATTTTTTTGTTTAGGTTATCCAATTTGCAAATTCTCCTCCTCCCGTAACGCAGATTTAAGTACACTTCACTGGCTAGTTATAATATTAACCATGATCTCAATATAATGAAATCCATAGTTAAATAATTTTAATATTAGTGACAAATATTATTCGTTGTATGACGTCCTATTTTGCATTTGTGTATATAACTTTTCTCTTTCTGTTTAATTTATAAATACGAAAATATCTGCAAATAATCAAAACGGGAATTACGTATTTGTACTATAAGCATAGAAAGGGGGGGAGGGTATATACCTCTAAGTAAAATGAATCTAGCATCTGAACTCTAAAATTATTTGCAAGATTATTTGGTTTCCATTAACTTTAGCCCCCTCCGTTCACTTAAATTAATATCAAATCTGTAATTTGTATTGATTGTAATGTCAGTGGTATTTTTATTAATCCATACTGGACCAAAATTAATAGGCACGTGACTATTTCGTTTTTCCTATTATCTGTATGATACAAGGAAAGACCACCTTGATCGCAATGAAAAATATAACGAGAAAAATAGTGCAATAGTTTTATTATTTTTTATCTTTATATATTGCGAGGAAATTAAAAAGTAATAACATATGAACCTATTATTTATCCTACATGTTTATATATTCGTTCGCTTTGGAATCGTGCTAACTATGACTTAAGCTTTCACTTTTAATCTGCCGACCTAATGGTCAATCAAAAAATAAATCTTTGTATAGAATTTGGACAACTGCCTACGTGGCTTGAACGAAAAGTATTTGATTTACTATATTGGTTGTGCACACTTTACGGTCGTTGTATACATATGCATAAGTACACTACTATGACACAGTACAGTCATGTTATATACCCATAACACTTAAAAAAATATATATTAAAAAGTATTTAAATGTTAAATTTGTTTCGGAAAAGGGTATTTTAATTAAAGAACATAGACTGTCCGTGACGTGAAGTTTTAAAATAAAATAATAAGAATTCAGTTTTTAAATAATCATTTTTCTTTTACTTTTACCCCCATGTACGCTCACTTTTTTGTCAAAAAAATAATTAATTGTTGATAATAACTTAAGTTGTTTTATAAACTAATGAAATTAATCGTTTAGTTTGGAAAAAAAAATTTATATTATATTCAAGGGATGAACATTATAAGCATTTTAGATTTCTCGACTTAATTTTTTTTAAATATCTTTTAAATCGCTATCGAATTTTTTTTTCTATCAATTTTGAATTGTAATTAATTAAAAATTTAGAATGTTTACTTCATAAATATGTATGCATATTAGAAGTGTATATACTTCTATAATGTTATATTAAATAAATAAAATATATAAAATAATTCTTAAAGTGATATTATTATTTAAAAAAATATTTAATTGATACAATTTTATCTATGATCGAACAATAACGAATACTAATATTTATGAAATTATACAAATATTCACTCTGGATAGTAAATTCCTTCGCATTTATAGATTCGAATAAGTTCTGTGGACTTCAAAAAATATAAATTTTTTGAAAATTATATTTAAAATGTTAAATGCACGTCTATTTTTAATTTAAATATGACCTATATTTGTATGCATAACTGTCCCGTACGTTTGACGTACTTCTTATAATTAGTAAACAAATAATTGACAGCGAGTTATACAATACTAAATGAAAATGATAAATATAATACTTATTTTTAAGCGGAAAAAATCCTTTTCATAAATATTTGTAATCAACTTTAACGGTAATTATTCAAATTATTGATTTTTTTTTTATATAATTTCAAATAATAAAATGTATGAGTTATTTTATGAAACATTTTTATATATATATATATTTTTGAAGCTAGTTACTAAAAAAAGTATTATTTATTGGTTAAAAAAAAAATTGGTATACTTGCAAAATATGATTATACGAAACACTGCTGGAAGTTATATGCGTAAATACCCACATTTCAAGACGTACAATACAAAATTGTATTAAGTTAACCGATTATACTTACAAGTAAGATCGCGAAATAATAATATGTACTAGAGGGTTATGTCAATAGGGTGTCTATTTTAAATTAGAATTATTGGGGGATGATACAAGTAAAACAGGAAAATTGTACGTGTGGTGGACTGGTACCACTGATGGTGTCTCTTTTGATGAAAACGAGCCAAACAATATTACGCTAATGTAAATATATTTATATATTTTTATTGTAACGTATACGTTGTATTCTTTGGAAATGATAAGACAAATTGCATGCACGCATTATACGAGTACATTTATTTTAGAAATCTTTTGAAAACGTAAACGGTCAAATCCGAAACCGTTTTTCGGTTGCAATACACCCCCTCAAGCGTACGCAGTGCCACAGGGTAAGCCCTACCAACACCGTGGAAGTTTTTGATGCGATACAGTCGTCCAATTGAGCAGTAACAATAAAATAATGTATACGGCACCTACATACACAATGTTGTTAAACGTGTAGACTGAATAAAAATACAGTGGCCGGCGATGGAACTGAATACACTTTAAAAAAACCTTTGTAGTTCTAATAATTTATCAACTATATTTTTGGTAACAATTCATTATTCGTCACATAGTCGTCGATAGATTTGTCCCGTCGGTATACATTTCCGAGTAATGTACGATATTCCAGCGCTGATATAACACCAGCTATAACCGGGTTCTCGATTACGTTATTGAGCAAATATTCTGCACCCCGAAAGCGATAATAGTGATAATAATAATAATAATGCTCCATCGTAGCATGACCATTACGAGTTATATTATACATCGTACACCGTAGTACGGAATATTATCGTCGGGGCATTTTCTAAACCAGTTAACCAGGAGGAGACAAAAAAAGTCGCCCTGTGAAAATATTTTGACGCCCAGTCGACAGTTTGCGTCCGAAAGACTGTGCGAAATACGGTTGACTGTCAAAAGAAGGGTTTTTTTTTATTTTTTAAATCACACAAGACACACACGATTCTAGGTGACGTACGACGGTAAATAAACGTGTACGGAACACGCCGTCGCATTTTCGAGACTTTCCAGCAACTATTCAGGCCGAACGCGACACACTACCCAGTCGTAGGCCGTTCGGTTGCCACCCCTCTTCGAGGAATTGTTTTTACACGTTGGATTCGAAAACGTGTTATAAAATCGACATGCTATTCAACCGTTTGTACGAACTAATTACCAAACGTTGGAAAAACGTAAGCGTACGAACAACAAAAAAAAAAAAAAAAACAAACAGAAAAATAATATTCTAAACAGTTGAACAGCTGTGTTAAGAGCATTGTTTGGCGGGTTTTCGTGCCGAAAGACCGTCGATCGTTTCGCCGAGGATAACGTTTCAACCGCGGATGCGTTTGGACGGGACGCACGAGCGCGGGTTGCAGTTGCACCGGACGTACGCGCGCCCTTCCGCCGCCCGACCGCCGGTTAGGTACCTGAGCCCGCGCGTTTACCGTTTCAGGAGTGAAAAACGAAAACGGTCCGCGGAAATCCCTCGGCGGGACCGTTGCCGGGGCGCGTCGATCGGCGCGCGCGTGCCTTATTTTAAAATATAATACACCGGCGGGCGCGTCCGTTTCCCCATATTGGGTCATTGAAAGTTCGCAGGCGGCGTAAAAATAGACGTAAACAAAAATCGCTCGGTGGTTCGGGCGGCCCGAGGACGATTCCGAATTTCGGACGGTTTCGCGCCTCGACCCCGCCCGCCCGCGCGCTTGTGTTTACACCGGCACCCGTGCGCGCGCAACGACGACGCCGCCGCCGGGGACCGTGCGGTCGCCTCCGACGAAGGGTCGCCGGCCCGAGCCATATATGGCGGGCCGGCCGCGCGTAGGGCCGCCGCGCAGCCGACCGCACCGGCGGCGCCCCGAAAATAGTGTTCCGTGCCCCCCGTCGCATAGCCATGTATGGGCGGCGGCTGCCGGTATTTTTGGACCGGGCCCGTTTATAAAACCGCCGGCACCGACCGTCAGTTCGTTCATTAGCGCATCAGCACAGGATCAGCAGCCACACACCAGCCGCAGACCCGCCGCAGTCGTTCAGTTCTTTTTTCCATCGTAAACCGGTGAGTACCCGCGGCGATACGTACCCCGCGGCGGTACGAGTGCGATTTTTTTTATTAAACCGTGCGATTCGAACACGAAAATACAAACGGGAATCGTAGTTTCAACGGACTTACAGTTTTTTTTTTTTTTCTTTCTTTTTTTCCGAACATCGATTCTGAAAAACCGCACCGTTTTCACGATACGTACTTTTTTTTAACATTTTTTACCAACACATTTTTCACGTTATTCCAAAAATGTTTCTCGTCCGCTCTTCAAATTCAAGTGTAGAATAAAATAATTGTAAAACGTTTCCAGTGATTTGCATTAAAACATTTTCTGAAAGAGTTGTCAATCCGATAAACACAAAAAAAAAAAAAATCTTTCGTTTCGATTCCAACGACGAAAGTCTGACGTTCCGTGTATTATTTTTTTCGTCCGATTTTCACGAGTTATCACATCAAAAATTATAACTTTCCCCGCGTTCGTTTCGTAAAACATGAATCATCTGTACAGTGTGTAACCGTTATTTTATCGGTGTTTTTGGTTTTCTTTCAGGTTCTAAAACTCAAACCAGCAAAATGTGTGACGACGATGTAGCAGCTTTGGTTGTCGACAACGGCTCCGGTATGTGCAAGGCTGGTTTCGCCGGAGATGACGCTCCCCGTGCCGTCTTTCCATCCATCGTCGGCAGACCACGTCATCAAGTTAGTATATCATAAAATATTGTAAATCATTTCGTAACGCGAAAACGTTGAAAGATCTGCAAAAATCCGGGATTAGTTTAGATCGCGTTATTTCCGCGTTTTCATAAACCTCTTGGCGTTCCGTGCCCATCCGTAATAACCTTATGCATTTTTCATAGTCTTATTACCATTAAATTTTTCGTGTACATAAGATCCCCCAGAATTCATGACTATAAATGGTAACGTCCTGAAAATAGGACAGCGAAGCTCTGCCACCCGATCCCGCCCGTGAGGCCGTTCACCAACCCGTCTTTGGGCGGGGTAAAAATAAACTCGTCTACGTCGCCAGCTGTGTATGCTGTGCGGGAGCCAAAGGATTTTACGTTATATTGTTGTTTTTTTTTTCGGATTTCAAACAAACCCTTCCTCTTTTCGCTGCATCTCGTGCCGTCTAATTAAAAATAGATAACACTTGTGCATCTGGAAGTACTTGGAGGGGGTCTGGAACGGTGTATAAATAAACGTTACACATCAGCTGGACCAGAGCGCAGTGCAGTATTAATTGCGTTATAAATTTAGAACGCCATAAACTATACAACGTGAACTTATTCACTTTCGTTTATTTATCTTATACGTTTTAACCATTGAATGTAATTTCAAATTCTTTCGAAGTAGATTTTTCATTAATTAAATTAAACGATGATACGAAACAAGCGCGAGCGTAATACATCGAAGATAATCTCACTGTTATTTTACGCGTTTGGTGAAATAAAAATTATTCACACTAAACAAAATTATAACAAATTAAGAACCAATCGTTTAGGGAACTATTTGAGAGGATAAATGAACTATTATTTCATTTTGTTTCTCACATCTGAGCGACTATATAATAATAGCCAGTACATATATTTACAATTGATTAATTCAAAAATTCAAATGGAATAATATTTCCGAAATTTTAAAATGTTAATAGGATCATGGAAAATATTTGATTATGAGACTCAATACGTAAATGTTCATACACTACATTTCCGATGGGTGTTTTATATTTAATGTACTACTTCTCCGCTTTAATTTTTATTTTTTTTTAAGGGGGACGTTTTTTTTACGAACAGCTGTTACGAGATATAAGCCGTCAGATCGCTATTATTGTTTTTATTGTTATTATTGCTCTGATTACGTCGTTTCGATTTCTGACCAATGGATTTATTTTATTCATTAGGGTGTCATGGTCGGTATGGGACAAAAAGACAGCTACGTAGGAGATGAAGCCCAAAGCAAACGTGGTATCCTTACTTTGAAATACCCCATTGAACACGGAATCATCACCAACTGGGATGATATGGAGAAAATCTGGCATCACACTTTCTACAACGAATTGCGTGTTGCCCCAGAAGAGCACCCAATTCTGTTGACCGAAGCCCCATTGAACCCAAAGGCTAACCGTGAAAAGATGACCCAAATCATGTTTGAAACCTTCAACACACCCGCCATGTATGTTGCCATCCAAGCTGTACTCTCCTTGTACGCTTCCGGTCGTACCACTGGTATTGTCTTGGACTCTGGTGACGGTGTCTCCCACACAGTACCCATCTACGAAGGTTACGCTTTACCCCATGCTATCCTCCGTTTGGACTTGGCTGGTCGTGACTTGACCGACTACTTGATGAAAATCTTGACCGAGAGAGGTTACAGCTTCACCACCACCGGTATGTAATCTTGGTTTCCGAACCCACCCCAAGGGTTAACATTTTTACTCGTAGCTAACCAATTTTTATGCAATTACAGCTGAACGGGAAATCGTCCGTGACATTAAGGAGAAATTGTGCTATGTCGCTCTGGACTTCGAACAGGAAATGGCCACCGCCGCCGCTTCCACCTCATTGGAGAAATCTTACGAATTACCTGACGGACAGGTCATCACCATCGGAAACGAACGTTTCCGTTGCCCAGAAGCCTTGTTCCAACCTTCCTTCTTGGGAATGGAATCTTGCGGTATCCACGAAACCGTATACAACTCCATCATGAAGTGCGACGTTGACATCAGGAAGGACTTGTACGCCAACACTGTACTCTCCGGAGGTACCACCATGTACCCTGGTATTGCCGACAGAATGCAAAAGGAAATCACCGCTTTGGCTCCCAGCACAATCAAGATCAAGATCATTGCCCCACCAGAACGTAAATACTCCGTATGGATCGGTGGTTCCATCTTGGCTTCTCTGTCCACCTTCCAACAGATGTGGATCTCCAAACAAGAATATGACGAATCCGGCCCAGGCATTGTCCACCGTAAATGCTTCTAAGTCATCACCTCCCACAACATACAAAATCAAAATTACAATCACGCTTTATGTTCATTTATACTGAAGAAAACCAATGTGTTTTTTCTTTTTGTACATATCGAGACGATTTTTGCGTCGTTTTACACGGGGATAAAATAACAGTTCAATTTTTGAAAAAAAAAAAATGTATTTATTAGCGCGTTAATCGTTTCGAAATAAACGTTTCTATACTATTTTTGTTGTTGACATTATTTCTTTTGGTAAAATATTTAAATCTTTTGCCATCAATATATATTTATATATGAATAAAAATATGAAACATTATCATAATGGTATGGCAATAATGAATGATTCACCAGTACTCAACTAGAACATTTTAATCATACAAAAAGTAATCTAAAAAAATATGTAATTCAAGGATAAATTAATTATACACTCGTTATATGGTAAGTACAGTATTGTTAAATAATAATAATAATCAATTGGTTTCAACACTAATGGGATAAATATATACCACATCATTTTATAATATAAATACAATATTAAAACACTATAATTTTTTACATATATAATCGAGTATATTTAACTATATGACCGCATGAAAAGATATATTTTTATACATATTTTGAAAACTATGACAAGTTTATATGCTCTGTTATTCGAAAAAATGTTTACAGATCATATATTTTGATTAGAACAAATGCTAAAGATTTAAAAATATCACGAGCTGCCTCTAAAGCGGTGGTGGCCAAATAAGGTAAACTTGGCTTCTATTAATAATGTTATAATACTAAAGCTTATTTTTGAACGTTATTTTCGTCTATGTTACGTATCAGTGGCGTGCCGAATATAGGTCTAAATGAAGCCCAGGCATCAAGTTAAAAAGGGGTGGGTGGTTGTTGGATAATAATATGTAAATCACATAATTATCGTATATATTTAGGTAGAGAAATATTGATATACGAGTTCTGAATGAGATGAATTTAAATATGGGTGGGTGTGTGGTAAGCTAGACTTTGCAAAAATCAAAAAAAATTTATCTCGGCACGCCACTATTACGTACAAGTTTTTTTTACAACTTGACGTACAATAGATAACTTTATAACAAATTTATACGTTTTTTGTTTAAATTTTCACAACGTATGAAACAATAATTATTATTCAAAATTATTTTTAATGACTTAAATAATCTTATTTAAAGTTATACAAAATATGTGCGTATAGCTCTGTGTATGTGCTAAATGAGTTATTAATATATACTATAATCAGTAACCTAAAAAAAAAGATAAAGTACTTAGTCGTGATAGTAAGATAATAGGCGTATTTGACTTATTAAGAGTACTTATTATTTAAATTGGGTGGCATTCAAAATGATAGAAAACCTAATTTAATTTACCATTGTTTGAATTAAGTAGTCTCGTAAAGAGTGAAATATTAAAATATTTGTTATTGAAGTAGATACTTATTTATATTGGGCGTATCCGAATTGGGTCTCAGAAAATATTTATGATAAAGATAAACAACTAATTGGGTTCGATCATAAAAACAATAATATAGGAGTTTGGTCCGACTAAAATAACCATAACATACTAGTTCGGTCCAACCACTACGACAATAAAACCTGTAACTTACAATTATAGATTCGCTTGATAATGTTAAAAAAATAATAATTACAAATTCAAATCGATGTTAAAAAATTAATAGATTTAAGTTTGTAAAAACTCTATAATTTAAATTTTTTAATTCTTTAATCATTTAATTTATTTATTTACCATGTACCAGTATTCTAATTGTCAATTAGTAATTATATACCATATATTAGAAACTTTAAAAGAAGAATCATTACTGTGTTCTAATTTATAGGTAACTGACAGTTCTAAGTCTAAAAGTTAGAAGCAAAATTTTTTTTTGTATGTACACAAATCGAGTAGTGCTTGTAAAATCGTAGGACCCAACTAGTGTACTATCTGAAAAACAATGGGACCTAAGTAGACTAAATAAGGGTATTCGGGACCCAACTAGTAAACGCCATTTATATTTAATAATGTTTATACTACATACTTGCCGAATTTTCTTAACATTATTTTGAAACTCCACGGGTAAACTACGTATAATCTTGGACGGTTCGTGAAGAAATACAAAATTAAGTTTAAAATTTATGTTAAATGATTCGATTTTGACCAACATTGGCATTGGACATTAATATTTCCCTTGAAAAATCAGTGAATTACTATGGCTTAATTTACGATAGAATATTGTATTTCTATGTTTTAATATTACTGTTGGATATTTTAGCTACTGGCTATTATAATATCAGAAACCTGAGTAGATAAATGAGTTACTTATATCTACGAAATGTACACGCGACGGTCGACGTCAATGTCAATCCGAATTTTTTTGGCAACTTATAATTTTTATTTATAATGCTGTAAAGGAACAGAGATAGTATGGGTTTTAATTTTTTTGTTATTTTTTACACCTCCTCTCCACTACCATCACTAAATAAATCATATCAATTATCATATACAGATACTCATCGTCGTAGTATACTCTTAAAAAAATTTATGAGAACATCAATGTCCGTATAGTTTATACAGAAACTTTTAATACTTTACGAGTTTTAAATCTCACTATTGATCAACAATCGAATATTTTCTTTAGATACAATTTTTTAGACATTTTTAATGAATTATTTGGTTGATGAGAATTTGGTTTTGCATCATTGATTAATTTTAAAATCAAATAAAAATGTACTATTTTAATTTAAACAAAAAACTGAATTTTTAGTTTTTTAACCACTTCAGCCTCAACATTTTTCAATCGAAAATAACATTTAAAATAGTTTTTTTTTGTGCTCGAAGTATACATAATTCATAGTTAAGAAACCATAATAGTGTTATTACTTCTCTTATACTTATTATCTTTTTATTTATATAATTTCATATGCTAATTATAATATAATATTTGTATTTTCACTAGATAACTGTCATATTTAACTAATGATTTTTTTTATACGATTGCAGCATGTGACAAAAAGCTGCAATTGTAAAAAAAAAAAACAAAATAAAATCACAAGAAAATAATTGAATTATCTACAATACCTAAACTATTTATAACAAGTTAGCAGATAGTTTATAGAATATAACGAACAGAGTAATCCTTTTCGAGTATTAGTTTGGATTAGGCGGGTAGCTAATAATAAATCATCAAGAACTAAAAATAGTTTATAGTTCAAATATTACATTTTATATATTATACGTATTTTAGTTCTTATCCTGTGTACATTTCAAAACGATTAGATAATGAGAAACTCGATGTATTTGTATTTGTACAGTACTGTCTACAAATATTCTTCGTATGAAATACGCAATTTTTTAACTGTTAAATTGTCTATAATGTTCATTGTTTTTCTCGACAACAACATATGTTAAAAAACGACAAATTTTACTAATAATGGACAGGCCGTCGTTACTATTTGCATGGCCTTAGGCAATATCTAAATTGCGAAATGCGAGGCTCCATAATCTATTGTAGAATAAAACTAATAAGATTTCCTATCACTAATAATAATAAGACTATGAAAATCAAAAGCGTGGATAGCGTTTAAGATTTAAAGAGTATAGCCCTCTGACTATAAACCTACGTCTATATGACCAAAAATGTGTAACTATACCTAATATCTCAGAAGAATTCAGTCCAACAGGTAGTTACACAAATTTGATTATGGTAAGTCAGTTAGTCAGGACATCTTCTTTTATGTATACTATATATAGATTTAAAAGAAAAACAAATTTCTTTAACAAAAGATGTAATTATAGATTTAAACTTACAAGTGATTAACTATACATTAAGAACAAAATATGATTGATCATGAAAACATTTTTTTCCTAGATTTTTTAGCTGCAAAATCATCAATTATTGAGTTTAAGTTGAGTTTTTAAGCCATTTAATTTTCTATGGATAAAATTGCTAATCCAGATAATCTCTTTTACGTCATTGTATTCCTCAAATATATTAAGCATAGACTCTATGTAGTAAGACATATTTAGTTATAAACGTTTTTGATAATAATTCAAAATGCATATGTCAATGTATGTTAAAAATATGTTAAATATTATTTATTTGTTTATTTAGAATTATATTATTGATAATAATTTTGTTATCAAAATATCGGTAACGAAAAGAGCGGTAAAATATAAAATATTGAACGGTCAAATGAAAATGATTTATTTTGTACCTAGTGCCGAGATCATGTACACAGGGCTCCCACATAAAACTTCGGTCCCCTACACTAAATGTTTGTCCGAGCCCTTTATAAAACTTCTAAAAATACAATAAAAAAATACAATTTAACTTCTAAAAATACAATTTATTATTTATATATAGGTATATATAACAATTTTAAGAATAATATTTTTTTTTTCATTATACTAATTCAAATTCAAGATTCATAAGCATTTCAATATTAATAATGTCTATTTTATTTTTTTTCATTAAAATATTATTTGAATTAAAAAAGAAAAAAACAAGTATATTTTAATTTATATTAAATACTTTTTTTTAAGTTAAAATTTTATTTTGCGGGATTTGAGCTCAGTGAACTTAGTAATGATATCGCCAAAATTGATTTCTAGGTAATCATTGGTTAATCAGTATTTTGAACTATCAAAATAACTAAATATATATATATATACACTTGTGTATATAATATAATTTTACAATATTATTTAATGTAAAATAAGTATTTCTACTAAAATTTCAAAATTTACAAATAAATTTCAACGGTCCCACGGGCCCTTAAAATAGCCGGGCCCCTGTACTCAAGGTCCATCAGCCCCTCCCCTTGAAAGGGCCCTGCATGTACATTTTGGTAATATACCTCCGGGAATTACCCGTTGTCAGGACGTATATTTGTCAACTGAAATCTGAAATATCGTATACTGTATAATACACATAACAAAAATACTAATTATTAATTTTTTTTATAAAAAGTAGGCAAAGGCATCATAAAATATATATTGTCAAATGAAAAAATTACATGAAATGTTCTTAGCCTGGGAAGCTGAAAAATTTTTAAGTGTCCTGATTGAAAAACATTTTATGGAGAGACGAAACCAAATTCAGAGACTTAATTGTTAATCATTATAATCTGAATGTTGGAGGTCATACATGTATGGATGTTTGT